AATTTGATTCAAGATCTTATTTTGTTTGGTTTATCTTATTATCTACTAAAAATCTAGTAAATAAATGTTTGATAACTTGATATTCTACTTATTCTAATTTGATAAGTTATAACTTACTTCCTATATTGATTTTAGATGTTATTTTGTATGAGTAATTATTTTATTTAGTAAAAATTTAGTGAAATATTGTTTGATAACTTGATATTTTGAGTATTTTGGTTTGATAAGTCATATGGTACTTCTTAATTTGATTAAGATGTTACTTTGTTTGATTAGTTAGATGATCTTGTAAAAATATTAGTAAAATAGTATTTGATAACTTAATATTCTAGGTATTTTGATTTGTTAAGTTAGGTGTTACTTTATAAAATTGATTTCAGATGTTATTTTATTGATTAACCAAATGTTACTGCTTACTTTGATAAGTCAAAACTATAATATGTTTTGAGAATTTGTTATTCTATCTTGACATAATCAAATTCATCTCTTTATGTTTTAATTCAATAATATCTTATTTAGATTTGGATTCTAGATAATGTAGATTCTAAATCATCTCTTGTAATAGGCTCCAGGAAGTTATTATTCTATTTATTCAAATTTATGAATTATTTTTCTGAAATTTATATTGTTGTTATGCTTAGTGTTTGATCTAGATTCACTATAGTTGGGGCTAGAAACGAACTTCTTTATTGTAGTTTTGGTTAAATATTTTTGAAATTGTTTGCTGTAGCTAGGATTGTTGTTTAATACACATCGAAAGCTAAAGAAGTTGTTGGTTTAGGTTGGTGGTGTCTATTAACATAAAGGTCTGATTAGGTGATTATGTTATCTGATCTTTTGTATTTTATATAATATTAAATCTCTTGTTTGAATTATACTAGATATTACTAATCGAAAATAAAGGAATATAAACTTTATTTGGAGTCAGTACCATGTGGACAATTATGTTTTTTTGTTATTTTATCTCATAGATTCTACTTTGTGTATTGTTAATAATGCCTAGATCATATTAGATTTATGTAAAATTAAATGTGAAAATAAAATAAAATTATCTAATTGTAAATTATTTATGAAACAATTTTCATGTTGTTAATTATTGTAAGAATGTTAGAATATTCTAGTATAATGAATTGTTTGATAATATCCTAGTTTTATTGTTTTAATAAAAGTATGGTTTATGTTTTGATATAGTTGAAATGAAGAAACTACTAAATCAAGGGAAAATGAGTTTTTGATCCTAAAAGAAACAATGTTGAACAATTTCTATCATCGGAAATAGATAAAGGCAAAAATGTCATACTTCATGATACCTCGTCTGATAGTTCGTCATATGATCAAGACGCGTCAACAGAATATGAACAAGTACATATGGCATTATAGTTGTAATTTTAGAATATTTGATGTATAATGTCGATATTCAGTTATATATTTACAAGAATAGTACTTGTAATGTTTTAATTTTGTGTCATGTAATGTCAATAACATCTTTCTCATATTACATGAGTTTATATTTAAAGTTTATATATAACATTCTATTGAAATTAGACTTTTTTATACTCTTATAGAATAATGTTATAGGATATTGTAAATTATATATAGAATATTATAAAAAGGAGATGTATGTTATTCTAATAGAATAATGTTATATGTTATTTGTTATCATAAATTATAGGCTAACTGCAAACATGTATAAAATTACAATATTATAAACAAAATATGTTGTATTTACATATACAATATTTTTACAAAATAATGTTATAATTTGATCGGTAATATGTATAGAAGTATAATATTACAATTAGAATATTCTAATTTCTAGAAACTGTTTTAAGTTGATTATTATGAATATTATGTTAGGTAATATTATATGTCTTACGTTATAATACACATATGTATAATATTATAGTATTCTAATATTATATGTTGTTTGTTCTTATAAGTGTATAACTAGAATATTCTAATAGAATAATGTTCTATGTTTTCAATTGAATAAGTTGATATATTAAATGAAAATAATGTGTATATGTAGAATATTCTAGTAGAATAATGTTATATGTTATCTATTTTCAAAACTTATATTTAGAATATTCTAACAAAATAATGTTGTAGGATATTATAAGTTACATGTAGTATTCTGATAGAGTAATACCTAATTAAATTTTGGGTTTTTTAATACTCATTGATATGTTATTATTCTAGTTATTCTAAATGTTCCATATTTAATATTAGTTTGTTAAGATGTAATATTTCGAAATTGTGTGTAATATTCTAGTATTAAAGTCTATTATTATAATATTTTGTAATGCGTAATATGAAATTATAGTATGTAACCATTCTAATATTATAAATTTCTATTTGATAACTTGATATTATACACATATGATTTGACGAGTCAGTTGTTGCTTTTTTTATAGTAGATGTTATTTTGTTAGAACCTATTTGCTTTAATCCTTTCACTAAAGTAATATGTAATATTGTGATAGTATTTGACATACTGTAAGGTAATGTGAAATATTATGACATTATGTGTCATATTATTATTTTAGACATTCTGGTTTTATTTGAAACAGCTTGTTTCTAACGTTTTTATTACATAATATGTAATATATGATTTTAGATAGTCTGTTTTTTTTTTGTTGACAACGACTTGGTTTGAATATCTTTTGTGAAATATTGTGATGATACTTGATTAACAATTAAGTAATGTGAAATATTCTGAAATTATTTTTCATATTCTTAAAGCATGTGTCATATTTTTAAATTACGTTCATATTCTGATTTTAGAATATGTAATATTCTAAAATTAAAAGTTAATGTTACAAGATTATTGTTAATTTAATGATTAATGTGTTGTTTATCAAGGTATAATTTTCATATTATAGTTGAATTCTAAATATCTTACATTAATTTTGTTTATTCAAATGAATCGAATAAAATAACAAGATCAAAAGCCAACATAGTTGATGAAACTAAAACAAAAAATCCCAATGATTAGAAAAACAATAACAATTTGAAAACCATAAAACTCGATCACTGGGTTGTCTTGTTAGATAAAAGGATGAATATGAATCTCAGAAGGGTCCTACAAAATTATAGTCAGATAACACTAGACCAAAAACCATAAAAATATATTACATGTTTGTGACATATAAAATCTATTGCATATTCATTAATCTCGACACTTGTAGTTGAAAACTTATAGCTTGAAATATTCAAGTTCCTTTCAAGTTGAGTTTCATCAACTACAACTATCTACAACCATAAATGAAATAATTTTTAGAATCGAGTATGGATACAATCAAAGATTTGAAAATGAAGTCTATAAGTGATCATACATCAGAATAATGTATTATGTAATGTAAGTGATCATACAAGACACAATGTAAACATTGAAAAAAAAATACTCTGAATCTAATAATCTTTCTTGGTACATCCCCTTACTGCATATTAATAAGAATAATCGACATTCCTAACAGAGACATCCAACCTTTTGTGTTTGGTGTAAAAAAAGATTTAAAAAAAAACTTTAATAATGATCACATTTTAAAAACATATTATGTATACCATACACATGAATTTACATATGGTAAATTTAAGAGCATCTAGTCTTTTCTTTAGCACAATCCTTTTCTACAACTTAACAAGAGCATATTCAAACAAAACTATGTTAAAAAGACATCTCCAATATTTTTATTTTCGACAAAAAAACATGTTTTAACAAAACTATGGTAAATATAATAAGAGTAGCATTACATTGTTTTACACCAATTGTGACTCATATTTTAAGAAGTATACTCCTATTCTTAAAGAAGAGTTTAGTCGTGGGAAAGAGGAATGATACACCAAGCTCTTTGTTCATTCAGGATTTTCATCAAACACAAAATGCATGTATAGTTTAAGAGAAATTGCTCGAGAACATTAACTGTTGTGTATATACATTAGTAGTTTTACAGTATAATCGCTAAATGATCTCAATTGATGATCGATTGTTGATGAAGTTTATGAAAAATATCATAGATTGTAACTGCTGAAATTGATGTCAAATGAAAAAAACATCAAACCTTGAAACTTTGTAGAAAACGATATCAAATTGTTGATGAAGACAAGAATTTCTGAACATAAAGTGAAGTAATGACGAATTGTTTAAATCTTTGTCAAATCCATGTTGATTCGTGAAGCATAAAGTTGCAGAAGAAGATATGAAGTTATCATCGATTCTGAAATCTTCATCCGCGATTGCTGAAATCTTCATGTAAAAGAGCTGAATTTATGATCAATTTGCTAAAATCTTCATGTAAAAGAGTTGAATTTATGATCGATTTGCTGAAATTTTCATCTTGATTGATTCCAAACTTATCATCAGATAAAATTGAGATTCTGTTAACCAGATTGTTACAAATTGATGATTGATTGTTAAAATCAATATCTATTTTTATAATATGAAACCTGAATGGATCTAAATCTTGTTATGTGAAAGACGTAATTCTCAATCTAGGGTTTCTATGAAACAAACAAGAATCTTATACGCTTATACATATTGTCCGCATAATAAAAAAATTGAACAATGACTAAACAACCCCTGATACTCTAATTAAGCCTCTTAATCAAACTAATTAGCACTAATCACGTTTTATTGAGATCCAACAGATCAATTTTAATCAAGAGCTGAAAATTGGTCCCCTTGTCTCACAAAATAATCATTATCTCAAATGAACCTCTCTCTCTTTATATATATATATATATATATATATATATATATATATATATATATATTATATATATATATATATATATATATATATATATGGTTGCCTCATGGCATAATGTAAATTTTTAGTTTGATTCTCGCTAGATGCATAAAATATACATAACACCCTTACATATAATCCAGCATATCTAAATGTTGACTAGCTCTGACAACACTACTGAGGGAGAGGGAGACAGAGAGAGAGAGGGAGGGAGAGAGGGAGAGAATCCTTAAATTATACTTCATTTTTCTTCTAGATCTGCAAAATCACCCCAAAAAAACTAGTAAGTGCATCAACTTGTAAGACACTAACTGTATGTCACTCAATTGATATTTAAAAGACTTTCCACCTATTGATCATGAGTTCAAATAACTATTATAAGAATGTGTTATAGTACTATCTTTAATAAGATTACCTTAAAAAAAGATAGTTGAGCAATTTAGGTAAAACCATTTATGGTTTTGTCTGTTATTTGAAAAGAGAGAATGATGGAAAGATACAGACTCTAGACATCTATCTACCTATATCTCTTATGACAGAAGCATACAAATGGTAGCGACTGGGAGTAACATGTTCTTCCTTCCTTGTCTAATAGCATGTGATACCTACAATTATCGCATTAATTCATGGGGCTACTGCAATAAATCTCCTTAATTTATATGAATGAAACAAATTTTGGGCCTTTCAACTAAGGGGCCTATATATGTGCCCTGAACTGAAGTCGATACTTAACTAGAAAATCAAGCCTTACAAGATTTTATACAACTGGTATATAGTATAACACCGTTTTTTATATATTGACATGAAGCTTAATTTAACTTAATTGATCATACATGGGGCTAGTGCAATAGATCTCCCACTGTTTTATGCACTGAAAACAAAATTTGAACTGAGGATTTTTATAAAATGCTTAGATTATTCCCCAATAACTTCATGTTCTCGAGTTCTAACCTAACGAGGAAAAAAAAAGAAAGAAATAGATAAAGTGAGAAGAAAGTACAAGAAATTGATGGATTACTTACTTTTCTTTTGTTAAAGAAATTTTAAAAACTTGGAAAGGAACCACATTATAGTACTGCACTCATGTGCTACTAATATAACCAAAATATAATTAATGAGCTACTAAATAGATCGTAAATGTTTATGTAAGTGTGGTCTTTAGTTTTTCCTTTCCAGTAATTATTTCTTATTATTGTGGTATATTTTAATTCTTGCTACATTCAGAAGAAATATTTATAGTGATATATGTCTTTCTCAAAATTTAGGATGCTGAAGGGATAGCTAGAAATCTACCAAATCAATAGCGCCAGCATGATCATCTGTGTATAGACGCATGAGGTAATAAAAGGCACCATGCTGGAGAGACTGGGTAGTGACCCCCCAATCGTTTGTCACCACAGTATGTCCAGAGGAGTCTATGAGCACCGCATCACTCCCAAACGCCTCCTTGACATTAAAGGGTCCAACCGCCACCTCAAAAGGCACATCGTTGATAAACACTATTAACTTCCCCATTCCACCTCCCTCACCTGCATTTCAACACACAAGACCATTAAGTACGTACATGCACATGATTCTTTACATCTTATATGCGTACAGAATATTAAAAAAGAGTAAGAGGAATGATAGAAAGCTATAGACACCTTCAACATCATTTATAGTTAATGGAATAATAGTTGAAGTAGGAGCTGGAGGGACAAGTGAAGTAGGAATTGCAGGTGGTGGTGGTGATGGTGTACTATGAGTTAACGTTTTGATAATATCCTCTTCTTCAACCTCGGCCTTGCTTTTAGAATGCTTATTTGGGATTCCATATTGAGGATTCATCATCAAATCAGTAAACGACATGCTAGTGCTACTCAAAACCGTGTGGTCATTATTATTCCTTGGACGATTTTCCTGATTAATCATCGTGCTCACATCGGGAAAGAAAAAATCTTGTGTGCAACTCGCAGTCGTAGGTGCCAGAGATGCTTGTTGCACCACAGGGAAAAAGAACGATTCCTGAAAGAAATGTCCATGGTGTTGCTGGTGGGAACCAGCCCCCCCACCACCACCTAAATAGGAGTGCAAAAGGAACTCAGTTGACTTGGATGAGGAATTGTCTGAGTAGGACGATGAAGAGGTGGTTGCTGCCTTGGTGGCAGCCGGAGAGACAGGCTGAGCTTGGCGACTTTGTGATTTTTGGAGGCGGCGGGACTTGTTTTTGCTCCTAGATTTCCTGTTCTGGAACCAGTAGAAGACGTTGGCGTCACCGACTTGGCCATACTCTTGCAGTCGAGCTCGGATTTTTTTTATTTCATCTCTCGGAGGGTTTATCATTCCTGAGTTGAAAATGGTTTCAAGGATCTGAATTTGCTCGGGTTTAGGATTCCATCTAGGCTTTGGTTCCGGGGTCCTTTTGTCACATCCTGCCATGTTTCAATGCGTTAGTTTCTGTGATAATATTATAATTAAAAATCTTGCATCATGTACGTAACGTATGGAGCATCCATAACTCTTTTTCCGGATGTATGCATCAGAAACTGAAACAGTAACTTATGCAATTCATCAGCAATACAAGATTATCAGGAACAGTTCTAGATATGTCCAAAATGCAAATATTCACGAAAATTCACTCTCATAATAGAAACATATAATCATGATAGATCTTAAATCAAACTTTTCAATGAGTAGCTAGATGGAGAATATAGACCAATAAATCATAATTACCGCATGATTATTACTGTGGTTATCTGTTGGATATAATTTGTTTTTGAAGTTCAAAAAGTAAGAAGAGGAAGAAGAAGAAGAAGATGACAAGGACAATTGAGAAATTTACCATAAGTGTGAGGAGATGATCTGTGGGAAGCAGAAGTGAGAGCATGGTTCGAGCCATGGGACTGCCATTGGTGGTCCTGATGAGCGGTGTAGGTGGGCTTTGATTTGAACAAACTAGGCCAGTGCCTATTTGATGAAGTCATCTTAAATTACTATAGCTATGAATTCTGTATTGATTGATGATGAATGAACTTCTCTTCGCCACTTACAGTTAGAGACAAAAAGAAATCTCCTACTATACACTCTTTGTGTTTTGCCTCTAGCTTTTCTGGTTTATAACTGAAGAAGAATGAAAAGTCTAGGCATATATAACATCTCCTCTTATGGCCATATAGACTTCTCACCTACTCCTGCATTTCAGTTCAGTTATAATTCATAAACAGTTATAATTCATATAAAACATAAAACAAAAAATAATAATACAATACACTGGATTAGTTAATAGACAACGTGTACAGTTTATAAACCTAAAAAGGAAGCACACCTTAGAGCCATTGCAAGTTTTTCAGTATATATACAATTTAATGAATTTTTCGAAGGTAACTGTTAAAATTCGAAGGCACTGAAAATGCTAGAAGAGTGGATTTGATATCTTATATTTGAATCCTTCTAAGAGGAGATGGTGCAAGTTCTTATATTGCTAAGGGTTTTAAGTACCATAGTGCCAGAGAGGATACACACACACACCTAGCTATCTTCTAAGAATTATATTCCTCCTTCCTTTAATTACCTCAATTTTTATATGGGAGTATTGCAGAGTGAAGTATTAATGCGTATGAGAGAGAGATAATCATCATAAGATGGTGAAAGAGGGAGAGGGAGAAAAGACTTGTTCTTTTACTTTGTTTAGGACATATTCTACGGCAAAAAGGTTGGTTTGCAGGCAAAGAAGAAATAGGAAGCAATTGAAAGCCAACAAGAAGGCATGTTAGGGTTGGAGTGCGAAAGTGGTGGTGGTGGTGGATTTATTGCTAGTTCGGTTATTTCAGGCAAAGTTATAATATGGGTTCTTCTTGGATTGACTCGAGGGCAATTTATTTCCTTTTCCATCTTTCAATGAGAGATAAAAACCAATTCACATGGATGAAAAATCGGAGTAAAGTTCTTTTGAAAGAGCTATGAAATCATATTCAAGTGGTAATTTTTTTTTTATTTTTTTATTTTTTAATAATTTTATCAAATGGCATCTAGCTATTGCAGGATTGTTAGCTCACTAGTATCTAGGGTATCTCATTTAAACTTAAAATTTTAGGTTATTTTGAAAAAAAATTAATGTATTTAGATACATGCGGTTCTATTGGTTTTTAGGTAATTGGTTTTTGATACCTAAAAGATATATATATATATATATATATATATATATATATATATATATATATATATATATATATATATATATAATATATATATATATATATATATATATATATATATATATGGAAAAGGTCAATAAAGAACCATAATTATTGGTTTCTTCACGGAACCAAATCTTTTTTTTCAATTTCTAGAATTTATTCTTTATCGAAAAAAAATTCTAAAAATATCTAAATTCATATATTAACATTGTGAATGTGAAAAATATTTTTCGGATTCATCGTGTGAATCCGGATTCACATTGTGAATTTTCAAAGATTCACATTGTGAATTTGAGGTAAAAAAAAAAAAAAAAATCGAATTTGATATCATTGGAAAAATGATAAAAATTTATGAATTTCTGTATTTTTAGTTTTTTTTTTGTTGATAAAAAATAAGTTCTAAAAGTTGAAAAAAAGATTGGTTCCTTGGTTAATTATGGTTTTCTATTGAACCTCACCCTATATATATATATATATATATATATATATATATATATATATATATATATATATATAAGAGGTGTATATAAAATAATTATTAAAACAAAAATACAGTAAATTTTATAATACAAATAATACAAACAATAACCTACAAAAACCACCTAAATAAAACGACATCTTTGTGTATTTTTTGAAACAAAAACACATTGTATTTTACAATAATAATCAATATTTAGTAAAAAATCACTTTCAATACTTAAAATTGCTAATCGATTCAATCTTTCTTGAGTCATGGTACTTCGGAGATACGATTTCAAGAGCTTCAATTTTGAAATTTTTTTTTCCATGCAAGCAACCTTAACCAACACAGTTAACAAAATCTTATAATAATTGTACTTTTTACTTAAGATGCCAACATTTCGAATAAATCGTTTTGAATTGTATGATCAAGATAATGATTATGTGTTTCTTTGTCTTTAATCATTCAAAAATATTCTTTCGTTAGCGGATCAAACTCAACAATCATTTCAAATACACCTAAAAATTTACCATTTGAGATTTCATAAATGTTTTCAATTGTACCACAAACAAACATGTTTTTTGCTGTACATTTTACAACTTTTTACTTAATATGTCAACATTTCGAATAAATCATTTTGAATTTTATGACTAAGATAATGATTATGTGATTTTTTTTAGTTCGAACGAGAATTGCCATTTCTTAATTTACGAATAAAAAAAACACATGAAAAATGTCTAGAAGTGAATCTTTTGGAAAAATTGTGGTGGTATCAATTTCTCTATTAGGCCCTTTACTATTAATAAATCTGTCATCTATGAATCTAAATCATCTCATAGGATGAAAATTATTAAATTCACTTTGGTTTATCTTTATCAACAAAGTCTTTATTTTGAATATCAAGCGAATCATTAGAAGCAGCAGGTAGATTATTAAAACTATTGATCATCATTAGAAATATTTTCACTGACATTTTGATTTTTAACAAAAAAAGTTATTCAAAAACCCTCTTAAGTGATTATCCTTTTCTTGTTCTTTTTTTTCGTTTTCTATTATGAGCACCAAATGGTTGTTTTCGAGAAAACATATTTAAAACACAACAAATCCAATTATAAAGCTAAGAAAACAAAGACAAAAGTTGACCAAAGTTTTGTTTTATTTTCCACTTTAAGATGTCAAGAGATCTGAAAAATGAATCATAGAATCAGAAAAATGAATTCATTTTTAAAAAACTACTGTCTAATAGCAATAATGGAATAAATTTAAACCTTCTGCTACTTCTAGAAGTCCATATATTCAAAATAATTAGAATTTAGAACGAAAAAGTTCAATGGAGAATTATATATCTCCTGATTCACATCATAGAAATAAGAACACAAAAGTTTAGAAATGAACTTTAGAAATTTGTATTAGAAGCAAACCACAGATAATTAGAAATTTTACCTAAAGCAAACCAAAAAAATCATATACAAAACAACATATTTCAACTCAAACAGAGGAGAAATCAGAGCTCAAACAGAGTAGAAATCTTTGAGACTTTAAGTCCTTTTTACTATAATCGAACACCAAAAGATAAAAATAAAAATCCACCCAAATAAATTAAAGAATAAAGAAAAATAAAAAATAAGAAACAAATTAAGAAAAAATGAAATAAAGAACTCACCCAAATCAGCTGAAGAATGAAGACAAATCAAAAATCAGAAAATCAAACATGTCCTTTCTTTCATTGTCCTCTTGTTTCAGGTTGTAATCAAAAGTTGGAATGTAATGTCTCATTTTCACAAGCAAAATTTTCATTTTTAAATAAAGAAAAATCATCATTTATATAAAACCCAAGTTATGAAAATTCATTTGTTCCAAAATATAGTTGTTTGAAAATCAGAGTAATATAAATAATGTGGAATCTCAATTGTTGTTGACAAGTGTGTACAGTTACGCATTCGCCTTCCCACAATCACCAATGATACCTGAAAAACATTTAATCCATAACTATAAGCCAAAGCTTAGTGACTTCCCCAAAATATCACACACCACAATACACATACAATGCATGCACACATGAGCCTTCAGTCTGCCTGGACCGCCTTGTAAGGCCTACAAGATGCTTAGATCGCTCTACTGAGGCTACAGTCTATTGGATCGCCTCGCAAGGTATATAATAGATAGAATTCTCCCTTAGGCCTCCAGTCCACGACTGGTCTGTTGGATTAGGTGTCTAAGCCTATAACTATAATTGGTATGTACTTGACCCGAGAGTAGCATGTTCCATTTCGGGTTGCCTTCACCAGAATAATCTGATAGGATGGATAATTGAGAAAGAGGTTATTTGTGATTTATTAATATATTATAAGAATAATATATTAATTGAAAAATCATATTATTTAATTGGTATTGATCAAGAATTAATTTGGAATTAATTTAGTGATCAAAAGAGACTTACTAAATTAACGGTGACTGATTATGTAAATCAGTGATACATATAGTTTGGGCCAATGATCCATGATTGATTAGTGATGGACTAAGTTTATGTGAGAGTCCATGAAGTGTTAGTACATAAGGCTAATGAGTTATTAGATTAAAAGCCCAAGTGAATTAGGGTTTACAAGATGAAACCCTAGGAATTCCACACTATAAAAGTAACATCTTAGCTCCAAATTCACCACCCCAAGGGTTCTAAGAGAACCCTAGCCGATTTTGGTGGTTCTAGACTCTCTCTCTCAAATTCCTCCATTTTTTCATGGTTTTTGTGACTTGTTTGAGACATCACACTTGAGGTACTAAGCTCTTGTAAGGCCAACAACTACAAGCTACAAATAAGAGGTATTCTTCTAACTTGTTTTATGATTCATGTACCAAATTTGTATGCTAGATAGGTTTCATGCTTTGGATAATTTTTGTTGCATGTATAATTAGAGAAAACTTAGATCCAATGCATTAGGGTTGTATGTGCACCATAGGAGTGTTATAGTACTGAAAACCCAACAATGGTATCAGAACCATGGATTGTTTTCTGTTATATTTGATGCATGGATAATTTTCAAAGCTGAAAAATTTCAATTTTTTGTTGTCTGACTGCTGGACTCGACGAGTCCCATGAGTGCACTCTCCGAGTTGGATCATCTGGGGATGAACTCGTCGAGTCCATGCCCTGACTCGACGAGTTAGGCAGTTTGTTGGCATAATTTTTGAGTTTTTGGCCAGTTTTGAATTAGGATCATTACCACAAAATGTTTTAATTCATAAAATTTTATTTTTGTTGGTATGGTAATGATTATCCTCTTCCAATAACATGATTATTGCCAAATTTTAAGATAATTACTTGATTTTG